GGGGAAGGGGGACGGGGGTGCTAAATATCCTCTATCTAACAATTTTCTACCTGATATCCCGGAAAATCTGTTCTAAACATCCTTTATGCCATTATTATTTACAGTTTCCGCTGAACCTTCGAGCAATAATGGCAAAAAAAATCCTCGTAGCATTGTAATTTTTTGAACAAAGGTACGAAGAACTTATCCAGACTTTCTCAAGCTGACCCCGCGAGAGAAAATTGAACTTAAAGTTATTCATATCATGATTTCAATTAAAAAACACAATAACACACGCGCATTCTTACGAGGTTTGACATTAACTTTTTGGAGAATGTTTGAGAATTTAATCGCGGGGTCACTTAGAGAAATGAACTAAAGTGAGTTGTTTTAAATAGCATTCCAAAAGTTACCGTGTTGTGAGTAGATTTTTGGAAAAAAATAATTTTTGCACTTGTTGCTCGAACTTTAAGCGGAATCCGTCTTAATTTTTTATCTAACTTGAAATACCTCGTGGGCTTGTGAGGTGGTCGAATATTGGGTAAAAAGTGGTATGCTACTGCCTCATAGCAAAAGCAAAATATCTCGTAGGTACCGTGAGAAAGTGGAACAGCAGGCCTATAAACATGTCAGGAAAGTTTGCCAGGAACGTTTGCTATTAGACGAGTACATTAAAACTAATATGTTTGAAGTCAAAATGCATGCGTTGTATGGAGTGCAACATCTGTTAAGATCGAAAGACTTTTCTGGAAACAAGATACGAAGCAAGCATATACAGGTGAACTCAGCATATAAATTATTAAACTTCTTCGTTTCCTTCCCGTTTGATTGGGTTATTAGACCCATCGGCAACCATATCAGATAAGAAAGTAACAATATCCACCAAAAGTCAAGTGATATTGAAACTGCGAGGTCCACTCTCTCGAGACTGAATGTGCTTGTATGAGACGAACAAATTCATTATATGAGACAAAAAAGAAGTGGAAAATCAAAGTCAGGTTTGAAACACTTCTGGAAACTAACCAAAAACTCGCCTTTTTTTCATCCAGCATAATTAAATTTACGCAACGCGCACAAAACACACAAACCAAATGCAATTCATCCGTGAAAAGCAAACGAAAGGTTATGCAAATTATTAGACGTTTACCTTTAACCTCTACACAAATTAACTAAGCACTTTGATGCTAACTTCACACAGTTAGAACATCAACATTTTTATTAGAAAGATTTACTCAAAACCTCCGAAAGTCGAGTTTACTTTCAGGGCGGGCAAAAATGAACGTCGATTGAGAATTTCCTGCCGTGAGTCAGCTGAAATCCTCGTCCGGTGGTAGATGAATTGTTATTAGTTTAAGTAGTGAGTCAGCAAACTCAAGTATCTGTCTGACATAGTCGATAAATGATTACACATCAAACAAGATAACAGGAAAACATAAACCTACATGATATTTGCTTTTGTATTCAAGTGATTCTAGATTTCCGCAAAGGATGACGTACAATGTATATGGTCATTTCAGTAATAGTACACAACATTACGCTCTGTTTGCTTTCATCGCTCAAACATGACCAAACATGCAATACAGCAAATGAAATTTAGAAGAAACGAACGTACAGATTGTTCCATGTTTTTCGCGGGAAAACCTCCAAAAATAACGTTTTTGGGGGCGGGGAGGGGGGGGGAGGTGGCTGGGGAGGTCAACCTTGTGGGTTTTGGTGGGGGGTCAATCTTGTCACGTGAGCCTAGCGTTCCTTGGAGAACGTTTCTTTCACGACCGTGCAAATGAAAACGGATAGAGGTACATTGAAAGCATAGTGTTGTAGCAAAGAACAGACACAAGAATCTTTCACGATCTCACCATTATTTCAACCTCTTTCCCGAACTCCAAGCTGCCGGAAAAATTCGCGTGTCAAATTATGACCTGATAAAAAGTAAAAGACGAGGAAATAATTTTCCGTAACATTTTCATAAACAAAGAGATAAATACCACGT